GTCTTGAGCATGAAGTCTTTGTTTTGGAAAGCACAAGACAAGCTCATGAAGGAGGAGATGGAGATGAAGGAATGCCATTGCTGGCTATAAGGTATAGACCTGTGTGAAAACCTAGGCTGGAGGGCAGTTGGGAGATGAGAGAGGAGAGGAGAGGAAGCTGGGTTTCCTGACTTGCAGCTGTGGAGGAATGAGCTTCAAGCAGGTGCTGAGGCCCTTGCAGGACCTATCAGGAGCTGAAAGGAATGATCCCTGCTTCTGAGTGGAGAATAGCTCAGTGTTCAATGTTGTGACCCTCATGGAGGACATCCCTGGAGGGATCAGGTCATGTTCTTTCTCCACATTTGGTCCACATTATGGTCTCTCCACATTTGCCCTTTCTATTTGCTCCCACTTCCTATCTACCATTCTGTTGATTTGTTTCTCCCAAACAACTGGGACCCACTCACACATTCCCTCGGCTTCTTGGAGGTTGGTGAAGGTAGGCATCATTGTCACCTCCCCCTGTCCCCTGTGGTAACTCCTGAAAGTCTTCATCTCTTCACTCTGCTGCCTCTCTGTTATCACTGCATTGGGTAGTGCAGAACATTTTATCCGTTCCATAAAGTTCTTTTTAAATATTTTTATTTGGGGTGTGTGTGTATATATATAAATCAGAGGACAACCTGCTAGCATTTCTTATCTCTTTCAACCATGTGGATCCTGGAGATCAAACTTGAGTTTCAAGGCTACTACCTTTATCCACCGAGCCATCTCACTGGCCAATGCCAGAAAGTTCCCAGAAGATGTGACCATACATTCACTTGGTGGTCAGGAAGTATGGTCTTCATTTTTACAATGGAATTTAGTATTTATTCCAAACTCTATTATTCTAGTGAGAGGTACTTCATGTTCTTGGGGACCCCCTCTCTCTCCCTGTGGTGGTACAGATTCTAGGAATCTTATGTAATGCAAAGGTCTTGGGGTGGGAAGACTTGGTACTGTCCCTATCATTGTTCCTGAGATGTCCCTCTCCTCATTTGACTATTGATCCACGAAGGACAAATGGTACTTGAAGTTTTGTAGTAAAAAAAAAAAAAGAGCAACCAGGCCACTCTCTCCCCCTCCTTCATGCCTTCTCTTCTCAGAACCATCCCTTTCCATTTTTAAGAAGCTGTTTCCCCAGGCTCATAAATAATATGTGCACACAGCTCTCTCTCTTGACTTTTTTGCTTCAGACATTCTCTGTTTAACTCTTAGGGTGGAAGACAAGAATTTCTTCCTTTTGCTCAACCCTTCCCATTCTCCCGTCTTTCCAATCCAGTGTGTCATATGCTTTGGTCAACCTTTTTGTTTCATTATCATAATTGTCCTACTGTTGGTCACTTTTGAATGCATTATGACTTTTAATTTTGGATCAGCTCCCCTAGAATGATATTCATTGTGACATTTGACATTTTATTAGTTTTTCTGAGAGCTGATGATGTCCCAGACTCAATTACATATGAGATCTGGAAATGTGGTTCTAGACCTTGGGCACCTAGACATGGATATTGAGGGGGTGAGTAAACAGTAACAGAATGGGTTGGGAAGACAATTTGTTAAGTCATGGAATGATCCAAAGCACCTGGGTAGATACACCTGAGTAGGAGTGGTGTCCCACGGAGTATAGCACAGATGCTAGCCTTCCTCTTAACTTCCTGCCACTTTCAGACCATTTCTCATCCTCATAAGGTTCCAGTCATCTGGTCAACAAGCACAATCATCTGTGAAAGGAAGGTGCTGATTTGGCTTGTCCTTGAAGGCTGTTTATTTCTTCTTGTTCAACTGCAAAGGATGAGGGAAAGACTAGAACGGCATCAGAGGCAGCGTGTCTCAGTCAGGGTTACTATTGCTGTGATGAATCACCATGACCAGAAGCAACTTGGGGAGGAAAGGGTTTATTTGGCTTATACTTCTATACCATAGTCATTCATTGAAGGACATTAGGACAGGAACTCAAATAGGGCAGGAACCTGACGACTAGAACTGGTGCAGAGGCCATGGAGGAGTACTGCTTACTGGCTTGCTCCTCATAGCTTGCTCAGCCTGCTTTCTTATAGAACCCAGTACCACCAGTCCAGGGGTAGCCCCACCCAAAATGAACTAGGCCCTTCCACATCAATCACTAATTTAAAAAATGCCCTACAGGCTTGCCTGCAGCCCAAACTTGTGGAGGCATTTTTTCAATTAACATTCCCTCCTCTTAGGCTACAGCTTGTGTCAAGTTGACATAAAACTAGGCATCACACAGAGCAGCGGGGAACTTGGATAAATAACTTTTGCACATTAAGTTTCTGGCTTGGTTGTTGATTTCTCTGTGTCCACTGAGATTATCCTCTCAGTCCAGCACCCTGCCCTGCTGCCCATCCCCTTTGAGAATCTACCTTTCTTAGCTTTCTCAGTCTGTTTGGTGGAGCACAATCTCCCCATGGCTCTGTTTATAGTAAGTCTCATTCTTAAAGGCAACAGAGAAAGGCATCAATGAGCTTCAGAGGTCCATTTAGCATTGAGGCTGATTCAAAGTGGAAAAGGTACAGAGATAGATGTCTGTGTGCAAATGGGATTCTTCTCTACAGTTGTATTTACATAAATGACTCATGGCCAGATTTTGCTCCACAGAGGATTTTGTTTTTGTTACCATTCCCAGGGGAAGTATAACTGACACAAAATTTGTAGATTCACCCATGACTTTCCTGAGCTAGAGCTTTGAAAACAAAGCGAGGACTGAGGTAGGTGAAGCTCATTTGGTAGACTTCTTGCCTGCCATGCAGGGAGTTCTCTTGGGTTTGATCCTCAGCACCATATAAACTGGGAGTGGAGGCCCATGCCTATAATTCTGTCATGCAGGACATAGAAGCAGGAGGATCAGAAGTTCAAGATCATTCTCAGCTATATACTGAATCCAGCTTGGGCTAGAGACCCTGTCTAAACCTTTGCAACCAACCAACCAACCAACCAAACAACTAACAACAACAGCAACACAGGATACATTTTTCATGCTTTTGAGCATGAAGCCTCTGATTGATTCACAGGGACATCTCCAGTAGAGACACAGATGGGCAAAGGTGACTGCCTTGGCATTGGATTCTGCAGGATTAAATCAATTTACCTCAAAAAGTTATCTCAATTTATTTTCCTTGTATCTGCTAGTTAAACAGGATTAAATCCTCACCAGCCATTCATTCCACCCTTGTCAAATATGTACACTTAGATTTGGCTGAGTGTCAAATCTCAAGGCCAGGTTGGGCATCGGCTGCTCTGATTTACAGGAAACTTGTAGGTCTGCTTCTTGTACCATCCTTTCCTGCTGATAAAGTGTGTCCTTTAATTCTTGTAACGTAGAACTCAGACCTTCATGGCCAAAGACACTTGGTAACACAGGGTGACACAAAAGGAATGCATAAATTCAAAACATCTAAAACCGACGACCACTTACAGGGTTGTAGTATTTTATTTTTGATGATCATTTTTGACTTTCATTGCAATTTTGAGACATCATAGAATGCATGTTTGGTGTCTTTTTGCTACTAGGGAGATTTTTTTAAAAACTGAGAATCATTTTCATGGTGGCTCAGCTCCAGAGATAAACAAAGTCCTTTCCTTACCATCACCGGGGGCCTGAGATGTCAGAGGAGATGAGTGTTTAAGGGAGGAAATGAGACTTCCTCAGGTCCCCCGTGGCCTCCAGAGCTCTGTCAGATGGTCTTATTGGATGGAAATAAAAATGTTTCTATTTTTCTGGCATGAGAATTTTGGCTAAGATAAGACCAGCAGGGCCGTTCTGCTGAAGCTGATGGCAAAGACAAGCACCAGGGATAAGTATGTGTACCGAGCTGGTTCACCGTGCCTGGAGGTAGTTCTCTGTATTCATAACCCGTGACTGCCCTTAAGGGACAGATTAAAATTCAAAGCATGCAGATCCTTGGCTGTTTGATTTCAGACACAAAATTGGAAGCAGGCTGATAAACATACACAGCACGAAATCTCACTCATGCTCCCTCTGTGTTCTGTTACACTGGGCTCGGCGGTAAAGTGGAACTCAGCCAACTGTAGCCTAGATCCTCCCTCCCCTGCCTGCCCTGGGTAGGCGTCCCGCTACCCCAGTGAAGACTCTCATAAACTACTCATTTTTTTGTATGTTTGGTAGATGACATCCAGAGGGGTCCTGATGCGAGTAAGCTGACATTCACTTGGCTCCTTTCCCCTGGAGCCTGGGGTTGGAGAGACCCACCTACACAAGGATGTCCTTACCTTTTCAAGAGGACTGCCAAGATGTCACAATGTCCATAAGATCTAACTCATGATGAAAGCTCTGGGACCTGAATACCCTGACCCCCATAATTCTAGGGTGTAGCAGAGGTCTTTCGTTGTTCTGATTCTTTTTCTTGCCTCTCTTCTATGTTTTGGATTGGGGGGATTCAGTTTTCGGTCATTATTGAAACCTCAGACAACAGGGCTGTGTCACTTGCCTTGAAGAGTTGTCTTGGGCATCACAATTAGAAGTACTCCTGAAAGTTTCCAATCAGGCATCTCATGTACACTCTGCGTTATCTGAACCCTTGTAACAGCCCTGCCCACCCATACCTTAGCACAATTGATACCATGCTAGAGGCACCGAAGCTCCATTCTGACCTAAATGCCCAGTATGTAGACCCCAATGCCTGCCAAAATGAGACCAAAGACCTAATCCGTTATAGTCCATAGACCCCAGACTGGCTGGTTTTGTGAGTTAACTTGACACAGCTAGATTCATCAGAGGAAGGAGGCTCAGCTGAGGAAATGCCTCCATGAGATCCAGTTGTAGGGCATTTTCTCAATTAGTGATCCACGGAGGAGGGCCCAGCACAGGGTGGGTGGTGCTACCCTGGGGCTGGTGGTCCTGGGTCGTATAAGAAAGCAGACTGAAGATGCATGAGAAGCAAGCCAGTAAGCAGCACCCATCCGTGGCCTCTGCATCAGCTCCTGCCTCTGGGATCCTGTCCTGTTTGAGTTCCTGTCCTGACTTCCTTCAGTGATGAACAGAAATGCTGAAGT